TTCGAAGAGGTCACAGTTAGCCAGCAAAATTTTGTGCATGCTGATTATCATCGGATTTGTTACATGCATTTCAGCAACAACAGTTATCTATTCTGTTAGCAGAAAAATAAACTTATTGCTAATACAATACATTGAAGTATTTATTTTCTCTAGCCTTTTGCTAGCATATATTAATTTCATGCGAGTTCTTATACGGATATATGTCCGTTTGACCTTTTTTTCTGCGTTTCTATACTACTGGATTAGTCCATTTGTCTTCTAGGTAAGGGGTGACGCTATTATTTCGCGCCAAAATGTCACGTGTAGGTTTTTGCACCCTTTTTCTGGACTATTCTATTGAATGAAAATGAAAACTGCATGAATTATGTAAAGTCTGTTCTTTTTTGTCAGAATCCTGGTCGAGCTTTGGAAAAAAAAACAAACAAACAATTCGGTGACATTGTGAAGTGAGTTAGAAGTTACATCATTTAAAGTAATAAAACATTTGATGTTGATCCCTCATCTCTGGGAAAAACTTCCTGAATCCGCACCATGGCATTCATATATCGCCGTCAAGTTTGTTGGGTCATTTAAAGCTTTAATTATTTTTCCCACGTTTCCAACAATCTTCGATACTTTGGCATACCCAAGAAACTATCAATCATATTGTACACGTCAGTCATAATTGTTAGATCCCCAATTTCTTGTAGTTATCATATTTTCAGCTGCCACCTTTATATGTAGCCATGCTTTCAAGCATTAATCAAATGTTTTTCCTTATTTACGTCATTCTCTAAAACCATTTTAGACTTGCGGACAGAGGTGTTCATATTTTCGTCCCGGGTTCGAATCTACAGCGGGACATGATCATGATTTCATTTTTTATTTGAGATACAAACAGTATTATATATGGTTTATGTTTTGTGCAACATCTCCATAATTTACTCCAGTGAAATAATTTAACCCCCCCCCCCCCCCCCCAAATGTAAACGTTTATAGTTTATCATGCTCATAGATTCTATAGATATTGATGACATAGTCAGCCAAGCTTTTTAAAAAACTGTTACTTGTGTTATTATTTGTTTATTTATTCGCGCAAAGGACATTGGGTAGTAAAGGAGCTCTGGGAATGTTGCACAACAAAATTTGCTTGACGTGTTTACAATTCCGAACTTCTTTTCTTACACGTTATTCTATTGAGCTCGCTGCACTCGCTATTATACGGTTCTTGAAAATGAAAGAAACGTCGTAGTCTTTATGAAAAGTAACCGATTTTCTTGATTGTACAAACATTTTTTAAGAAATTAGGGGGGGGGGGGGTTAAGTTATACAAAGAAAAAAAATAATATGTGTCATTTTAGATTGCCGACGTGCAATGATCTGATACATGTGTACCGTATTTATGAGAGGTTCATATCTCTTCCCTCGTCTGAAAAGTGTCGCATCCATTGATATTTTCTTTTTTGCTACGATTTAATGCTTTAAAAATGATGTCTTTATTTAATTTGGTTATTTTCGATATATAAATATCTGTCCCACCTGTCTGTGGGATGCGATAGTAAAGTGTCTGCCGTCCGTTCGTCTGTCTAGCTGTCTGTCTGTCTATAAACAATTTTTCAAAATACTACTCTTCCTACCGTTTTGGTCTGATTTCAATATAACTTGGCACACAAGTACACATCTCTAAGATACATAGTATAGTGCATCGGTTTTTGAATGCTTTAAGATGCGACGTCTTCAACAGTTTTTGTCTGAATTCAATATTGCTTGGCACACAAGTAGCCTTCACTAAGATACAAAATATCGTGCATCCGTTTTTGATTTCGATGAACGGTGTTGCCATGGTTACTAAAAATAGAAATTTCTGTATATAATTCCTTAAAAATGCTACTCCTCCTACAGTTTTAGTTTGATTTCAATATAACTGGACACACAAGTAGACTTCAATGTGATACATAATTAAGTGCATCGTTTTTGATTTCGATGAACGGTGTTGTCATGATTACAAAAAATAGAAATTTATGTGAAATTCCTTTAAAACGCTACTCCTTCTACAGTTTTGGTCTGATGGCAATGGCTAGTTTTCTCTTCCTTTGTTATAAGTACAAACAAGTAGAGCTATAGTCTCGACATTGTGTTGAACCCAATGAATCATTTTGCCTCGATTATAGTCAGAAAAAAACTCATGGCTGAACATATCCAGTCATTTGGACGAGTCAAGATTAGTGACAGTGAAACTGTAAATTCGCTACCATTTTTCTGCTAGTGAAACATTGCTGATATAATGCAGGGTGGGACGTGACCTTGACTCGAGCTCAAAGTCCCCAAGGATAAGATGTTTTTGGTTGGATGCATGGACAGAAAGAATATCTAAATAAAATGTTTGAAATTTTCCAGACGGTAACACATGGATAATATTTTTATAACGAGAGCTAGTCATTGCTTAGATCAAGGTCATTTGGAGAGTTCAAGGTCACTTGGAAAGTTCAAGGTCACATATATTCCTTTACAGTCTTTTTCCTAGCTAAACATTGCAAGTTGCTTCTCTTAAAAGGTTTAAATTTTCACTTGTAGAACTTTAGAATGTGGCTTGACCTAGACTCAAGGTTACGTCTTCTTATCCGTAGCTCCAACGGAAGACCTATTCGTTGCTTTGCAACGAGCTCGGCTCTAGTTTACATATTATTTTCAAACTATATCGAAATTGAAATTATTTGTCTTCTTGGTCAATCAGTAATGTACCTTCCAGCGTAGCTCAGGTGGATTGAAAATGAATTTCAAACTAGAATTTCAATCCAATGTTTTCTCGGCCGTTCGCGTTGAATTGTACCCGCACATTATCATTAAATGTTTGATTGTTAGTGATAAAAATGACGCTATCTGCATATTTACAATCTGGCCAGTTAATGTTCCGCGGTCTAAATTATATGTAATCAATTTGCTAATTATCTGACAGTTATCAATTAGTTAAAAAAAATCGCTGTACGAAATGTTTCAATCGGAATAAAACGAGCTATGCAAAATCGGAGAGTCTTGAAGAATTCCGAACGTCCAAGACGTAACCAATTAGAAATTAATAAGCAATTAAAGTATTTGAGGTGAAAAATGTAAATGAAGTACACCCGGAAAATAATTAAATGACCCATGGAAAAAAAATATGGAAACTATAAGTATTAATTGTGACGTAACGTGTAGATTCTGTGTGGAATAAGTTTTTAAAAAGTGATTAAGGAATTTTGACATTTTACATTCTCAAGAAAATACTGGGTATTTCTCCAAAATTATAATAGGAAAACATCAGCATTTACTATTTGTACGTGCTTTTGCTAAATTGAATCACAATACAAATGCATATCCTTTGTTAAGTGCGATTATTCATTAACAATTGAGAGAATGTATTTAAATAATTTATTCGTGTTTGTATGTTCAGGTTAGGTATATTTTACATCGAGTTGCCTCATCAAATCGTTCTTTCGCAAGGGCATACACTAAATAAATCTTAACCATTTTCTGAATATAAATAAAGGATAATTATGTTCTTTAGCTTAAAAAATGTTGCTGCTTTCTTTAAATCTAGAGGGTGACTTTATAAGTACACGAAACATTTGATAAAAGTCAAACATATTTCGACATGGGCCTATTTACTAGAAATTTTTACTATTAAAACGCGAATTCTATTCAAAGCAGCAGCACTTTTCAGAAAGTACAAAGCATACAGAAACAATTAATTGAATTTTTTTTATTTCAAATAGGGTATGCCCTTGCGATATTGAAATTTCTTAATGGCCTACATTCAGTGTACGTACTATGCATTCATCACGTGACTGTCCATCTATGGGACCAAACTTCATACAGTAGGTTATACTATATGCAAATTCCATAAACTAAAACAGCTGAAAAAAATATATATTCAGTTTTAAAAACAATTCCAGTTTTTGCACTTCTTTTTTCCGTTGATTTCTCATAGTAAGCCTTAACAGTGCTGCGTATATGATCTATTTTAAAATCTATATAGCCGAAAAAAATAAGCCTATAATATTTTTCAATGTTGAAGTTGAAAAATAAGTCTTTTAAACTGTAAGCAATTATATTGACAAGCAATAAACTTTAAAATTCAAAATAATATAAATATATAACATGAATTTAAGCCGTTTCATTTAAATTTCTTTACATAAAAGACACTGAGGCACCATCATAAGTGTAAAATATTGGTAAGGTATGTGAAAGACTTTCAACGTGTTGAAGTAAGATCATGCCACTGTTCACATCAAGCACTTCATTTGGTTACTCGGTGCTTTACACTTTGATTGCCTATCCGACCTATCTCAAAACGTGTTCAAGGAAATTCTGAATATTTATAATATACGTATAAAAATTAACCTGGAAGTCACCTTTTACTAGCTCAACGACATGCTTGCAATTGTAACTTTTCAAAAGTCCACCCAATCTCACACTTACGCCAGAAATAAGCAAATACCCACAGTAGAGAAAAATTCGTTTTACAGGTGATGTATTTGTTCATAAAAGGGAAAATAATACTGGCTTTGTCAAACATGTAGTAAAACGCCATTGGAAGAGATGTCTTGTTTTCGCGCTTTCAGTACTTTTAGTTCTTTGATTTGTCTTTATTTTTTTATTAAATGGATGTTTATGCATTTGGTTGATGTTTAGGTTTTCCCCTTCGTTTTTGAAAAGAACAGGGCATCTACTTTGCGACTGACATTGAAGATACATGTATCTGATTCTGAAAGTAAAGATATTAACTGAACTTATGTAGTAATGACAAGAATTCGTTTCTTGAAGAGATCAACAACACAATGGCATGACCTTTATTGTTAGTCAGTGCATTTTTTTTAAATGTCTTGTGTATTTTGTTTCTTTTCTTTTATGAAAATATGAAGATAAAAACAAACATTCCTTTATATAGACCTATACACTTATTTAATATGCATCTACTGATGTACTAGTTTTACACGTACCTTAATCGTAGTCTCAAAATCGTTTATTTTAAAGGTATAAATATATCGGTTTTAAAGATCTACAGTGATAGATCAATCCAGATTTCACGTGGTCAACCGTCAAGTCAACCATCCCGAATTTCATTAAAAAGAAGCTTTTAAAATGCCTAACAAGAAATTTCTCAGTAAGTAATTGTTCTAACATGTAAGCTGGTTGTTTTATTACAGTTTTTATCTGCGATTATCGGTTGGCTTTTTAAATCTGCTTGACATATCCATACACATGTAAACAAACTTCCATGCTTCAATGGTAAATCTAAGAAAAAATCATATTTACATGTACAAGATACCAGGAAATTAAAGTATTGAGTAAATCAATTAGGTTATTACACTTTTTTGTTCACTAGTCCTAACCGACCTAGAGTTTCTGAAAACCAAATATTTCTATCAGTCATTCGGACTGATGACTTAATTAATGCATTCGTACCAATTCGAAGCATATTCTATCAGTCTGTTAAAATTTTATACGTATATTTTATGATATAATTCAAAACAATATGGCATTGAATGTGTAACGGATTTATCAGTACCTTCTCAGGGGCCGAAATTCGGCCCCATTCCCAATTGAAAATTAGTTCAAATTTTCCCAATTTGGCAGTTATTTTTCCCAATTGCAGAACAATGCTCTTTTATTAAATTATCGTGGAAAAAACACAAAGTAAATTTGCCAGATTGTCTGTAGTTTTACTTAATTTAACTCATTTAGCAAAGCTACAGTCATAACACATGTGTAAATAGCTGCAGATCTGTAGCTCTCCGAAAAAATATATTGATAGACCGGGGAGCTACAGTGCCACCCATTGAAAAAACTGTATATTTATTGCGCACTAAAAAGTGCGCTCGGTTCTCGATTTATTTCTCCTTGTTTTTAAATCTGTAATCTCAAAATATTACTAACCGTGCATTCCTAACATATTCTTTCACTGTTTCCACAACCAAACATTCCTCATAATTGTTGTTAATAGTCCTCCTGACTATTAACAACAATCGTCGAAAATTTCTCTTATTTATACTGCCATTTTGGTTTCAAAGATAATTCGGTCCAATATGCTTCGTTCAGATGTTAACTACGCGAGTACTTGATAGAGGAGAAAGGATTTCTTTGAAATATTCCATTTTTGCAATTGAAGTTAGAATTTTGACGAATTAATCAAGAACCGAGCGCACTTTTTTGTGCGCAATAAATATACAGTTTTTTCAATGGGTGGCACTGCAGCTCTCCGGTCTATCAATATTTTTTTTCGGAGAGCTACAGATCTGCAGCTAATGTTTAAAAACTTCGCCAACTTTTAATCCGAATTTCCTCAGTTTTTTCTGAAGTGGTGATACTGAGTAATTCCATAGGTTTATTAACTCATTTTCACTTACTCAATTGATCTACGAGTGAATGGTAAAACTGTAGGCATTATTTCAGATAGAAAAATATATTTTAATGCACATTTTAGAAAATATGTATGCACTGCCAGTATAATTTTTTGCAGGAGGTAAAAAAAATTATAGCTCCCATGACCTAAATTGGAATCTTATTCACAAGTATAATACCCTACATTGTAAAATAATTAATGCTCATTGAATTCAAATTTACTTTCATTAGTCTATTATTCTTAGTTAATCTTGTTTGATGAAACTGGATCATTTAATTGTCTATTTGGTAGCTAGCCCAAATTTTATATGAAACCTGTTAATTGCACCTGAAATGGCTGAACACATGGCTTATAAGCAACATACTTATTTTTCCCAATTTCATCAAAAAATCGATAACTTTTTCCCAATTTCCAAAAAATGGCATTTCCCAAAATAGGCTGATAAATCCCTGCTGTAAATCTTTTCGTTGCTCATCAACACTGATTGTGAATTTGTGATACCATGGAAACTCTGCCTACCCACTTCTAAACAGGACATGTCTATGAACTTAAAATAGGCCTATACTGCTCTATTATTCAGCTTATTTGATGATTGCATTTTATTTTTCTCATCATCAGAAGAACATTTCAAGTACAGTCAAACTTGTTTTAAGAGGCCACCTTTGGGAAGCCTGGAAACTGGCCACTTAAGACAGGTGGCCTCTTATTCCAGTTTGCCCTCGAATAGGACACTCGGTCAAAAAATAAACAACATTAAGCACTACAGTTAAATTAATTAATCATAATTAAACAGTTCAATGTCAAAAAAGCTTTTTATGTGTATATATAATAATTCAAGCTCATTTAAAAAGAATATTAAAAACGTTTAAGGTTTTGTGCATGTTTCTGTTCCTACATATTAGTTAAACATCTTGCATTCATAAGTGTGCTTTTGTTACATTGAATTATTAAATAAATTCTTTTAATATTCATGTGAAGAAAAACATACAGTGCCTGACTATTATCCTTTTTTATAAAGAAAAAAATGCACAAAAATACAGTTTAATGGTCAATAAAATATAATAAAGCATAGAAATTTAAGTCAAAAATGTCAATAAAAATTTCACTTACATATGTTAAAAAGATAGTCAGCAGTGTAACCCCCCCCCCCCCAACTTAATCAAACGGTAATTAACTTACTTGCTGAAATTTATAAAGTCTGATTAATTTTATTGTTTATAAAGCTGTCAGAATTTCTGTTTAACAAACACAAACTCACAAATAAAATTAACCAATTGACCAGAGAGATGTATTTATGCAGTTGAAAATCATTCCATAACCTAGGTGTCATATGCAATAGAGCGTGACTAATCCCTATCGATCGTCTCTTGATATATGATATGATAAATTCACGAGATAATCATGCCATATGAAGCACTTTGTTTTTACAAGAATAGCGATTAGGACTTCTACATGGAATCAAAATCTAAAAGGTGTGAATTTCTTTAGCTAGAGGAAAGTATCAAATGTAATTAAATTCTTTTAATTTTTCAATCAGCAATCTTGAAAAATGATTACAAATTGATCTAACAGGACAAATATTTTTTTTTGTTATAAACACAAACAGAGTTCAGCGTATCTAAAATTCTAAAAGCAATTTGTTTAATTGCATTAATGGGTTAAATTGACTATCGGGGATATAATTACCCAAGCCAACGTGTTTAAAAGACGTGATAGAATCGTGACAAGTGACGAAATGGCCGCCTATTACAGTGTCAATAAGGCTGTTGGGGAGGATTTGAGTGGCTGCTGGCCGCATTACACAGGTGGCCGTTTATTCCAGTTAAAATATATAGGAGAAATCATCGGGGGGAACTGAAAGTGGCCGCTGACCGCGAGTGGCTGTTGATTTTGGGTGGCCGCTAAGACAAGTTTGACTGTAATATGTTGATGATGCAAGCGTTAGGGCGAGAGCAGATAATTATTCAGGTTTAATTTGGATCAGGCTCGTCAAACTGTAGGTGACAATTGGTGCGTCTAAACGATGACATCACACGACACTGAATTTAAGTAGCAATACCAAACCCAAGCCTGAACTGTGCTGACTTTAAGTGAAGAACATAATTTTATTTATTATTTCTCTGCAATATATCCATTTAATCAAAGCTAGTTTATTTTTTGTTGAATTTATGTTGTTATTTCCACAAGAACGTAACTTAAAGAAGCGATGTATTGTGGGTCCAGAAATTACTGTGGAAAAAAAGATTGATTGGATCAATGTGTAAGTCTGAATTTTCTCTTCGCCCAGGTGTTTTCGTCAGAGCTCACATTCTCACATTACGAGCTGCCCTGCTGTTAATTATGGCCTTATGAAAATAGTTTTTTTTATAACTAATGAAATCAAATTGAATTCATCTTTGCAACTTCCATGCATCAATTAAGGATTTTCAATCTGTTTCGCTCCCAATAAACTGTTTGAAGATTATGACACTAAAAATTTGGCTGAATATTAAAGATAAATTTTGGGACGCACCTGATTTTTACTTGATTCTAACCAGTAAGGTAACAATTTTCCAAATGCACCTGTTGTTTCTTATCCATTGTACATGTTGTAAACAAATAAGGGAGATATATAGAAAGCAGAGATTAATCAAATTCATAAAATAATGAAAGGTTTATCAATGGAAGTAGATTAGATCTTAAAGAAATGAGAACATAATGTATAAGAACGCTCAAAAACATGGAATAACATTACAATCATTAACAGGTGATTGATCGTCTGTTGTTTATAAATGACATGAGAGCAGTCTTCTCATTGGTTGCAAGGATCTTGCCTGTAAGAAGCAATGTATTAATCACATTTTAAGTGGCTAGTGCAAAGAGATTGTGGTTCAGCAATTTTAAGCAGACCAAAACTTCTTTATAATAGCTTGTGAAGATGTGAATTGTGAAGTAAATAAATTCTTGCAGCCCTACAGCTGACATAAAATATATGTGACGTGTATAAGATATTTATATTTTGTAGATAAGAAGAGTAAAAGGGTGTCTGCTGCAAGGAGATACAAAATAGAGAAACTGGTACAGTGTACATGTATTTGAAAATATCTTGTTTGAAAGTAACTTAATTATTAATGTAATGAAAGATCATTCAGTGTATTAAATATGGGGAATGTAGCTGATCTACCTTGGTATATATTAGATAAAAGATGTTTCCTCATCCCTTTTGAAAAACCTAGTCTAGCAATAAGAAAAGAAATGTATTTATTTTACTTTAACAATATAAGATACTCTTTTTCATGACATATACATTTGTTAGAGATGCAATAATTCTTACATTTTAATTATATATATCATTTATGTTAATATTCATGCAGTAACATTACATGTGATGTGTGTGGTATTTTGTAGGTTCGTCAGCACAATAAAAAAGCCAAGAAAGAAGCCAAGAAAAATCCCAACAAATTTGTCAGTAAGTATAGAAGCTCTAATCTTGCGAGTTCATTGAATTTTAATGTAAAATATTTATTTCTTTCAAATAAAATCTTAAATAAGTGCAATTATACTGATTGAAGAGATAGAATGTGTGAAAATGACAACACAAGCAAATGAAGTCTGCTGCTAAGGAAGGGATGGAAATCTAGAGAAAGGACTGGTTAGGG